ATCCCATACTGATATATGATTATTAAAATCACATACATCATTTTACTTTAATTATACAGGTCCTTCTCAAAACATTAGCGTATTGTGATAAAGGTCATTATTTTCCATAATGTAATGATAAAAATGAATCTTTCATATATTTCAGATTCATTGCACACCAACTGAATTATTTCAGGTCTTTAATTGTTTTAATACTGATGATTATGGCATACAACCCACCAATGAAAGACAAGTGTTTTTAATACAAAAAATGCCAACCTTCAAATAATCATGTTCAGTTATGCACTCAATACTTGGTCGGGAATCCTTTTGCATGAATGACTGCTTCATTGCGGCGTGGCATGGAGGCAATCAGCCTGTGGCACTGCTGAGGTGTTATGGAGGCCCAGGATGCTTCGATAGCGGCCTTAAGCTCATCCAGAGTGTTGGGTCTTGCATCTCTCAACTTTCTCTTCACAATATCCCACAGGTTCTCTATGGGGTTCAGGTCAGGAGAGTTGGACGGCCAATTGATCACAGTAATACCATGGTCAGTAAACCATTTACCAGTGGTTTTGGCACTGTGAGCAGGTGCCAGGTCGTGCTGAAAAATGAAATCTTCATCTCCATAATGCTTTTCAGCAGATGGAAGCACGAAGTGCTCCAAAATCTCCTGATAGCTAGCTGCATTGACCCTGCCCTTGATAAAAACACAGTGGACCAACACCAGCAGCTGACATGGCACCCCAGACCATCACTGACTATGGGCGCTTCACACTGGACTTCTGGCATTTTGGCATTTCCTTCTCCCCAGTCTTCCTCCAGACTTTGGCACATTGATTTCTGAATGACATGCAAAATTTGCTTTCATCCGAAAAAAGTACTTTGGACCACTGAGCAACAGTCCAGTGCTGCTTCTCTGTAGCCCAGGTCAGGCGCTTCTGCCGCTGTTTCTGGTTCAAAAGTGGCTTGACCTGGGGAATGCAGCACCTGTAGCCCATTTCCTGCACACGCCTGTGCACGGTGGCTCTGGATGTTTCTACTCCAGACTCAGTCCACTGCTTCCACAGGTCCCCCAAGGTCTGGAATTGGCCCTTCTCCACAATCCTCCTCAGAGTCCGGTCACCTCTTCTCGTTGTGCAGCATTTTCTGCCACACTTTTCCCTTCCCACAGACTTCCCACTGAGGTGCCTTGATACAGCACTCTGGGAACAGCCTATTCCTTCAGCAATTTCTTTCTGTGTCTTACCCTCTTGCTTGAGGGTGTCAATGATGGCCTTCTGGACAGCAGTCAGGTCGGCAGTCATACCCATGATTGCAGTTTTGAGTAATGAACAAGGCTGGGAGATTTTAAAAGCCTCAGGAATCTTTTGCAGGTGTTTAGAGTTACGTCGTTGATTCAGATGGTTAGGTTAATAGCTTGTTTAGAGAACCTTATATGCTATTTTTTTGGGACAGGCATTTTGGGTTTTCATGAGCTGTATGCCATAATCATCAGTATTAAAACAATTAAAGACCTGAAATATTTCAGTTGGTGTGCAATGAATCTGAAATATATGAAAGTTTCATTTTTATCATTACATTATGGAAAATAATGACCTTTATCACAATATGCTAATTTTTTGAGAAGGACCTGTGTATATATATATATATATATATATATATATATATATATATATATATATACACATCTTAATAAAAATGTATCAGTGACTGTGAGTTTTGCAAACGTGTCATAAGATTATTTTATTGGTGGTAATGTTAACCCCACCAAAAATATTTAAATACACTGAACCATGTGTTCAGCTGTACTCCTAAGATTTACAGAGGAAAAAATCGTGAGAATGAGTTTAGTATTCAGCTCTGACTGATTAAACACGCAAGTACTTCATTGCTCCTGTCAAACTGAGTGGAGCGGTCGACCGTTTCAAGATGGCGGCCCTATAGCTCGTCAGCACCAATAGGCGATAGCGGTCAATGCTGTATCTAGTGATTATATGATATCTATGGGTTCTGATGACCTCACTCCTCGGTCAGCTCTGTGATGTCACTGGACGACCACGAGAAAACAGTCTCTGTTTTCAGAGCAAGATAAGAGCCAGCAGCCAGTGTTACCATTAATAGTCTCCAGTTCATTGTTCCTGAGGACCAGCATGCGCAGCTTGGCCCTGGCGCTGGGGCCGAGCGCCGGCACCCTCTGCAGGCAGTTGTAGCCCAGGTGCAGGTGCTCCAGCTCACTCAGGGGCTGCGAGAGGAAAACAAGGAGCAGAATGATGTGCACGTTGGATCGTTAGGGCGAAATGTGGAGGATAGAACAACAAGGTACCTTTAAAAACTCAGCACAGTCCTGGATCTTGTTGTGGCTCAGATCCAAACACTTAAGCACGTTCAGTAACGTCTGAGAGAAGAAGAGTTCATTTAAATCATAAACAAACTCAACTATATTCCATTTAATTCAATAACATTTATCATCTTTAATAAATAAAACTGAGCTGCTATTTATCTTTATCAGTTTCTATCTCTTATCTTTATATGACTTAAATTTCAATAAAACATTTTATGTACTTAATGTTAGAAAACAAATAATTTTTATACAAATTTTAAAATTAAGTCAATGAAAATTAATATTTTAAATAAAGTACAATATATATAAATACACACAAATATCTATTATTTTATTAATTAAATAACCTTTCCTTTTCATACAGTGCCTTGCGAAAGTATTCGGCCTCCTTGAACTTTTCAACCTTTTGCAACATTTCTGGCTTCAAACATAAAGATATAATATTTTAATTTTTTGTGAAGAATCAACAGCAAGTGAGACACAATCGTGAAGTGGAATAAAATTTATTGGATGTGTCAAACTTTTTTAACAACTAAAAAACTGAAAAGTGGGGCGTGCAATATTATTGGGCCCCTTTACTTTCAGTGCAGCAAACTCACTCCAGAAGTTCAGTGAGGATCTATGAATGATCCAATGTTGTCCCAAATGACTGATGATGATAAATAGAATCCACCTGTGTGTAATCAAGTCTCTGTATAAATGCACCTGCTCTGTGATAGTCTCAGGGTTCTGTTCAAAGCTCAGAGAGCATCATGAAGACCAAGGAACACACCAGGCAGGTCCGAGATATTGTTGTGGAGAAGTTTAAAGCCAGATTTGGATACAAAAAGATTTCCCAAGCTTTAAACATCCCAAGGAGCACTGTGCAAGCAATCATATTAAAATGGAAGGAGTATCAGACCACTGCAAATCTACCAAGACCCGGCCGTCCCTCTAAACTTTCATCTCGAACAAGGAGAAGACTGATCAGAGATGCAGCCAAGAGGCTCATGATCACTCTGGATGAACTGCAGAGATCTACAGTTGAGGTGGGAGAGTCTGTCCATAGGACAACAATCAGTCGTACACTGCACAAATCTGGCCTTTATGGAAGAGTGGCAAGAAGAAAGTCATTTCTCAAAGATATCCATAAAAAGTGTTGTTTAAAGTTTGTCACAAGCACCTGGGAGACACACCAAACATGTGGAAGAAGGTGCTCTGGTCAGATGAAACCAAATCGAATTGTTTGGCCACTATATATATATATATTAAACAGAGGAAGCCGTCTCCTCCGTGGTCCACACTGCTCTCACCCACCTGGAGCAGAAGGACTCCTAAGTCCGTATGCTCTTTGTGGACTTCACGTCTGCCTTCAACACCATGATCCCCCAAACCCTGATGGACAAACAACTCACACTAGGACTAAGCCCCTCCATTTGCAACTGGGTCTGACCGTCCGGGATTTCTTAACAAACAGGCCGCAGTCAGTGAGGATCCCCAACTTCTCCTCCACCATAACCCTCAGCACTGGCTCTCCTCAGGGATGTGTGCTGAGCCCCCTCCTTTTCACCCTGTTCACGTATAACTGTGCGCCTACCCATCCAGGCTGTCATTTTGTAAAGTTTGCAGACGATGCAGCGGTGGTTCACATACTAAAAAGACAAAAACAAGACACTAGTAAAGTAAAAAGACACTAACATATCCTAAATTTAATTAGGACATACATATGAAAGATGGCGTCAACCAAAAAATAAACAACAAACAAACAACAACAATAGCAGCAAGACAACCAGAGAAACCAGATATAGAAAGCGTCATCAGCTCCTGCACCTATTAAAAGTATTTAGAAAAAGCATTTCTCTTCAGTGTGAGTGTTGTCGTACTATTGACTGATCGAGGCAGACGATGGTATTGTAGCTGAAATTCAGGGTGTGAAGCTCAAGCCAAGGCAGGGCAGAGCTCAGGTCGCCTCCACATGTAGACAGCAGCTCCTAAAAATACAAAATAAAACACTCAAAGCAGCCATGTAATTCATTTGTTTGTCGTTTGACTCGTGGGGACAGAAAATATAAAAGAAAAAAAAAAAGAAAACTGCACGTACTTCCAGAGAGCTGAGGCTTTTTGTGCAGGTAAAAACCTCCAGCTGGGAATAAACTCCCCTCAGCCCCTCCAGGAGGTGTGGGGGGATTCTCTTCAGCTGGCAACCAGAAAGAGGTCATTTATGATTGGCTCCTTCATAAAACTGAGAAAAATATTTAGAAATATTTTCATAATCCACAGAAAAACTGTTCAGCAGCTACCTCCAAACACCTGAGAGACTTGAAGGGGAAGATCTTCACCACAGAGTCCAAGGTCACTCCTGGAGGGCTGATGAGCTGAATGTAAACACAAACAATTTTATTAATAAAAACAATAGTATTAATAAAAATAATAGTATTAATAAAAATAAAAATATATAAAATATTATTATTATTAACAATAATAGTATTATATAAAAATATAAATAATTTTATTGATAAAATATTATTAATAAAAATAATATTAAAACCAATATTGTTAAAAAATATTATTAATAAATTATTAATAAAAACATTAATAAAATAATAGTATTAATAAAAATTTTTAAAAAATATTATTAATAAAAAACATAATATTCATAAAAACAAAACAAGAGAAATTGTTTTTCCTGTGAAAATGCAGTGTGAATGCTTAGTGCTGAAGAACTTGCTGAAAAACAGCTGAAATTAGCTAAAAACTTGCTGAAATGTAGCTGGAATGGAAGAACAAGCCAAAATTAGCAGAATAAAACAGAAGGAAGGAACACATATTTGCTGAATTATGAAAAAAAAAAAGAAGAAATTAGCCAAACAAAAAAAAGGGCAGAAAATTAGCTGAAAAGGCAGAAAGAAGTTTAAGCTACCATAAAGAACTGGAAAGAGCTGAAATGAGCTCAAAAAACAGAAACAGAAAAAGAACAGAAAAATCAAAAAACTAGCAGAAAAAAGCTGAAAGGAGCATAGTAAGCTGAAATTCTCAAAAATACGTTAATTAGGCTGAAAATAGCAGAAATTAACATGAGAAACTTGAATTTATCTGAAAACAGTCAAAATTAGCTGAAAAGGTAGATCAAGCTTAAATTGGCAGAAAAATGCAGAAAGAACATGTTTGGCTGATTAAGCTGAAAGAACCCGACGTTAAAACAAAAAGTAGAAATTATCGGAAAAAAAATGAAATTAGCAAAAACTGCTGAAAAGAAACTAAAACAGCAAAATGAAGCATAAGTTACCAGAAGGAAGTGGAAAGAGTACTTTTTTGCTGAATTAGGCTGCAAAGGTTAACAGGGACCCTGTGTACATAATTTCGTTCGCACCACAAAGACAACAAAGAATCTCTGACTCTGAAAAAAGTTTAAATGAGTGTACAAAATCTGGAATTAGCTGAAAAAGCTCAAATTAGCATAAAACAGCTAAATAGTAGCTGAAAAAATGCAATATAGTACAAATAAGCTGAAAGGAACATAAGCTGAAATTAGCATAAATAAGTTAATTAGGCTGAAAGTAGCAGAAATTAACAAGAAAAACTTGAATTTATCAGAAAACAGCTGAAATTACCTAAGAAAAAAAAAGCTAAAAACGTAGTTGAAAAGGTAGAAAAAGTTTAAATTAGCATAAGAAAGCAGAAAGAACACGTTTGCCCAATTAGGCTGAAAGAAGCAGAAATTAGCACAAAAAAGTAGAAATTATCTAAAAAAAAAAAAAAAGCTGAAATGAGCAAAAACAGATGAAAAGTAGCTTAAAAAGCAAAAAGAAGCTGAAATTACAAGGAGGACGCGGAGAAAGCACATTTTCGCTGCATTAGGCTGAAAAAAGTTGAAATGAGTGCAAAAAATGCAGAATTAGCCAAATAAAAGAAGCTAAAATTAGCATAAAAACAGCTAAATAGTAGCTGAAATAGCATAAAAAGCTGAAACTTGCATAAAAAAGCTAAAAGGAGCATAAAAAGCAAAAAAAAATAGTTTGGAAGAAACAAAATGTTGTAGTTAGCAGAAAGAATCTAAAGCATCACAAAACAGATGAAAAAATAGTTGAAATTAACTGAAAAAAAAGCTGAAAATGTGTTTTAAATTTGCTCAAGGAAGCTGAAAGAAGCCGAAGCAGAACAAAATGTCAAAGGTGCAGTAAAATGTTGTAAACAGATCTAAAGACTTGAAGGATGTAAAATGAGCTCAATTCGTTTTCTATAAGGAAAAAGTGGCAGAAAAGGCTAAATACTTGAAAAAGCTAAAGTCGCACCAATACCAAAAGTCTTCTCCTGAACGAGCTGAACGTTTTTGATTCATGATTTGTTGAAATAGCACAAAAACTGTGGAACGAGAAAGATGCTGAAAAATGTACAGAAGAAAAATGAACCACAGATGTGCTTCTTTACAGTGAGTTGTTGTACTTTGACCAGTGCAGTCGATGCAAAGGTTCTGCATAAACAACAAACCCAGCAAAGATGAAAACATAAAGTTTGCTTCTTTCTGAGAAAATAAAAAGAACTCACATGAGCCGTTAATAACGACAGGAAGCTTATCATTCAGACTCAATCAATCAAAACACTCGTTTGTTAAAGGTTCTTCTCAAACACACACAGTAAAACGCTACGATTCAGCTTCAGCTACTTTAAAACACAACCACTCTCTTTATAGTTAGCCATATTAATTTATGTTGTTTGTTTATTTCCTTTGTTTTGTTTGTTGGGGACTGCCTGAAGGCAGACACATATTATTATCCACCTGATGAGGGTTTCTTAACTTTATATCTTACTCTTCCGTCAACTTTAAAGCAGCCCGAACCACAAAGTGTACCCCTACAAATCTTATATCAAAACAACCGGCTCGGCACTGTGATGTGTGCTATTACTTTTATTGGCGTTTCCAGTTACCATGGCGACGAAATTCGCAAGCAAACACGCCATTTTTCCCCCAATAAAAATGCCTGACGGAACTCTTGGCTTCTAACTGCCGCAGTGAGGTCACATGACCGAGAGTGAAGAGGTCTCTGAACTAAACACTGACTAACTTTTGGAGCCATTCGGGTTCAAGATGGCTGCCACAGCTACCTCAGAAAACTCTAAATGGACTATAACTCATTATTTGAGATACTGAACTGAAAGTTGGTATGATCATAGGTGAGAGCGAGTTGTTTTACATTCCTGATGCAAATTAAAAATACAAGATGGCCGCCTTAGCTAAAAGTGGAAAAACATAACTCGGCTATTTTAAAAGATATTGTGCTGAAATTTGATGTGGTGGTACCTGACAGCGACGCACAACACATTCTGAATTCAAATCTAAAAATCCAAGATGGTCACCTGAGCTAAAAATGAAAAACTACCGTACTATAAATCAGTCCATTTTAGAGATATTAAGCTGAAATTTGGTGTGGTGGTAGCTGAGAGCAATGCCCAATACATACCGAATTCAAAATAAAAAAATCCAAGATGGCCACCAAAGCTACATTTAAATGGCTTTAACTCGGCTATTTTTACACATATAGAGCTGAAATTTATAGCTGAGAACATTCCCTATCACATACTGTATTCAAATCACAAATCCAAGATGGCCGCCATATTGTAAAAGAAAAAAGGACTATAACGTTGATATTTTTTTTGTCGTGTTGCGCTGAAATTTGGTGTGATGGTAGCTGAGAGCGAACCCAAACACATGGACTGTCAAATCAAAACTTTTTAAAGATTTGGGGTTGTACTTGAGGTATTATCTGAGCTCTGAGATGTTAATCAGCTGCTCCTCGTTGTAAAAAAAACAACAACACCTAGTTGTCATGGTTACGCTTCATAACAAATGTCCAAAAGTAAAACCTTGCGACACATATTTACTTCCATATAAAAATCTTTCCAGCTGCACAGCATCCAATACCAGAGGAAGTAATCATCTGAAAAAAAAAAAAGCCATTTACATCCAGAAAAAATAGGAAATAAAGTTTCAAAAGCAAAATCTCAGAATGAACAACAGAGCTACTCCAACATGCAGCCAGCTTGAGCGGCACAATTCTTAATTCATTAATTCAGCTCATCTAGAGACGTTTCTAGAACGTGACATCCGATTGTTAAATGTTTTACAGCCTCAAACTGAGTCCTGCTGAACCTCTTCAGTCAACCACACGGGGGCAGTGTGGCGCAGGAAGCCTGAGATGAATGTTTTTAGTGTTAGCAGATGGTGTCATGGTACACTGGGTGGGTTTTTAAAAACATCCAAGCTCGCACCGGCGCAACCCATCTATGCCATTTACCCAGAATGCATTGCAGCGTAAACAAAATGGCGACATCTGTGTGTATTTTTACAGCTGAAGTAATTAAACGAGGTCTTTTGTTCCAAATAATCGGGGATTCGTTTAACAACAGTCATTTTTCTTTGTTCCAAGGTCAGTCGGCTGTGGCTGCCATCTTAAATATTTTGCTAACAGACAGGCAAAATTGATTATGATAGGTAATGGTGACTAAACAAACAAGTGAAGAGCGGAAAGCGCACCTTGAGGGAGATGGTCTTCTGCAGGACGTCGAACAGGAACTGCAGGTGCAGCAGGGAGATGGTGTCGGCAGGGTGGGAGGGCAGCGCCAAGAAGCCGTGCTGCTGGCTGCGGGACAGCAGGTACTGCTCGAAGAGCCGCGTGAGCTGCTGCAGACTGGAGGCCGGCAGCGTCAGAGTGCTGCTGCCGTCCAGCACCACGTCACCTGCACAGACGAGGGCCGTGACTGACAGAAAACTGATCCTTAATCTGAGCTGCTTTTACAAACTTAAACATGTCTGTCAATGAAAACATGATGCGCTGAGCTTCGTTTACATCAACATGAAGCATTCACTCTGTTGTGATCCATTTTTCTTTCTTCACATCTTTAGATCTGTTTACAAACTTTTACTGATCCTTTCACATTTTGTTCTGCTTCAGCTTCTTTCAGCTGCCTTGTGAAAATTTAAACATATTTTCAGCTACTTTTAGCTAATTTCAGCTGTTTTGTTCTTCTTTCTGATTCTTTCTAACTACATTTTTGTTCTTCTTCTAACTTCTTTCTGCTAATTTCAGCTTATTGTGCTCCTTTCATCTTATTCATGCAAGTTTCAGCTTTTTTTTTTTTTTGCTATTTCAGCTACTATTTAGCTTTTTTATGCTAATTTTGGCTTTTACAACTAATTTCACAATTTTTTAACTCATTTCAACTTTTTTCAGCCTAATTCAGCAAAAATGTGCTCTCCCCACTTCCATGTTGTAATTTCAGTTTATTTCTGCCCTTTTAGCTACTTTTCAACTATTTTTGCTAATTTCAGCTATTTTCAGATAATTTTCACTGTTTGTGTTCATTTCTGCTTCTTTCAGCCTAATTGGGCAAACATGTTGTTTCTGCTTTCTTTTCCTAATTTAGGCTTTTTCTACCTTTTCAGCTACCTTTGTACCGTTTTTAGCTAATTACAGCTTTTTCAGATAAATTCAAGTTTTTTGTTGTCATTTCTGCTACTTTCAGTCAAATTAACCTTGTGCAAATTTATACATTTTTTCAGCTACTTTCAGCTGATTTGTGATGGTTTAGATTCTTTCTGCTAACTACAACATTTATGTGCTTCTTCTAACTTCTTTCCGCTAATTTCAGCTTGTTATGCTCCTTTCAGCTACTATTTAGCTGCTTCTATGCTAACTTTAGCGTTTTCAGCTAATTCCACATTTTTTGCACTAATTTAAACTTTTTTCAGTCTAATTCAGCAAAAATGTGCTCTCTCTACTTCCTTCTGATAATTAAAGATTCTTTCGGCTGTTTTAACTGCTTTTCAGGTGGGGGTTTTTTGTGTGCTAATTTCAGCTTTTGTCCAATAATTTCCACTCTTTTGTGCTCGTTTCTGCTTCTTTCAGCCCAATTGGGCAAACATGTTCTTTCTTCCTTCTTCTGCTTGTTCTAACCTTTCAGATAGCTTATTAGCATTTTGATCTAATTTCAGCTCTTTTTATATAAATGTATGTTTTTCATGGTAACTTTTCAGCTTTTAGCCTAAACAGCTTCTTTATGCTAATTTCAACTTATTTTTGTAAGTTTCAACTATTTCAGCTGCTGTTTAGCTATTTTATGCTAATTTTAGCTTTTCAGCTAATTCCGCATTTTTTTGCAATCATTTAAACTTTTTCATCTTAATTGTACACAATTGTCCTCTTTCCACTTCCTTCTGGTAATTTAAGCTTCTTTCTGCCTTTTTTTTAGCTACTATTCAGCTGGGTTTTTTTTTTTTTAAATGTCTACTTTTTTCAAATAATTGCCTCTTATTTGTACTCATATCTGCTTCTTTCAGCCTAATTAACTTATTTCTGCTAGTTTCAGCTTATTCTGCTATTTCAGTTACTTTTTCGCTGTTTTGTGCTAAATTTAGCCTTTTCAGCAAATTCCCCATTTTTTTAGCACATTTCAGCTCCTTCCACTTCCTTCTAGTAGTTTAAGCTTCTTTCTGCCTTTTCTGCTACATTTCAGCTATTTTTTTGGTGCCAATTTCAGCTTTTTTTAGCTACTTTCCAAACTTTTGGGCACATTTCTGCTTGTTTAAACATAAATCAGAAAATATGTGTACTTTGAGCTTTCTTCTGCTAACTTAGGATTGCTCAACTATTTCAGCTGTTTTTAGCAGCTCGTTCCTCATTATTTGAACAATTCTGATTTAATAACTTACCATGACCTTCAGAAAACACACAAAAAAACAGTCAATTTTACAGATAATGTGCTGAAATTTAATCTTATAGTTGCAGAGAGTCATTCACAACACATGCATTTTCCTCTTAAACAGAAAATAAATATGCTATTATTTACATCTGTCTTATTTTAATTAAGCAAACGTCCCAAAATTAGAATGTGCGTGAAATGAAACAGCTTTAAGTCATATTTATAATTGTTTTTTTTTATATATAATTCTACAGGTCCAAACAGCTGATTAGTCTGATTTCCCCACGCTAGGTTTATTTTAGTATATACTCATATTTTACAAGTTACATTTGCCATAGTATTCTGACAGAAAACTCAATATATTGAACGAACCTTTATCACGAAGCAGAGCAGCCAAGCTGTGCACCAGAGACTGGCCATGGTGGGAAACAGCCATCCTGTGAGAACACAAATGATAAAACATTAATATAAAACATACTTTAGCTGTTAAATCACATGATACAGCTCTAAGCTAATCGCTAAAGAAGCTAACTGAGCTCGGCTAGGTGAATTATTTCCGGTTAAATCGTGTAAAAAATATAACTACCTGCGCAGTGACAGCCGGGAAATAAACACCTAACATCCGGGTTTTATTTTGTAGAGTGGCAGCTAAAGCATTTTAATGTGTTAACGTGAAGAAACAACGAGCTTTCAGAGGTTTCAGGGGTCCTGTTTGTGTTTGTTTCCCCTCTTCCTCTGGGATGTTGACATTTCCTGCTGTCACATGACGCTGAAGTCTCTACGGTGGCCCCAGTGGGCCAAAAGGCTTAATCACATCGCAGATGCGTTTCCTCTATCAACTTCAAATAAATGCTTGAATTAAGTTTGTTTGTTTTTTTAGATAGGTTATTGCTTTATTATTATTTTTTTACTTTATTTACAGAACAAAAACAGAAGGGAGCAGCTGAACAAAAAAATTAGTGAACAAAAAGGTTTACTTGTGTTTCCTAGAGCTTCCAAAAGCAGATCACTTTTTCAGTTATCAGGCTCTTGTCGAACCAACTTCCAGTGTCTGTCCGTGACGTTGACACATTGTCTACTTTTAAGATAAGACTTAATTCATTCAGACTGATCCTCGGTAAACTAAATGTTTGTTTAGTTTCATAATTGTTCTTTATTAAATTTAAAAAAAGCTTTTATATATA